TGTCGGCGCGCTGTTGTCGGCGCATTGATGACATCGCGGTTTTGTCACCGCAGTTTCGTCAGCGCGCTTTAGTCAAGCGTGCATTTGTCGGGTCAGGTCTGAAATAGTATAGGGTTTCCTGCTTGAGGAGGGAGTTAGATTATAAGATCTCCAAGGTCCCTTGCAACTCAGTTAGTCTGTTATTTCTAATCTAGTTATATCATTCTACTTGACTTATTCTTTGAACTGGGAGTTAAGTTCATAATTGGGCTACATTAATAAAGATAGTCAAAGTTAAATCAATCATAGTCATAAGAGTCATTTTCAACATATTTTAATGCAAAGCACATTGACTACTTTTTTTAGATATTCCTAATTATTGTAATTCCGTATTCTGAGAACTAAATGGTTTAGCTAAACATTTTTAACATGATGAAAATGAACTGTCAATTTGCCAACAAATTTATCCACTATTAATATTTTAAGATATCAAGGACCATGTGATTGCTTGTTGCCATCTTCATCTCCACATACAAAGAGGTATGTGGCAAGTGAAAAGTAAAAAAATAAAAAAAATCTATTATCTAAAAATAATAATTAAAAAATACATTAAAAAGAAAAAACAAATAAATTTAAAGGGCAGACTCAATGAACTATTAGCTTTTTTTCTCCCATAGTTTTCTATGTTTCTATGAAAGTACATTTTCCCATAACCTAATCATAGTTGTGATTCATACTGGCATATATTGGTGAAATATTTTTATCCAGTTAGACTAAACTATGATTTTTTTTGGATTTCATAATCTTCGACCTATCCTGTTAATCTTTAGGGGTGATGTATATCATTTTTCATTTATTTATAGTGCCTAGCTGCAAAGTCATGAGTTTTCCCCGTGTCTTTGGTTTCCTAGATATTGTGTCTAACAATATTGTGTCTCACTTTTCCTTAAGCAGCTTATCAAATGTTCATATGCTGGAGCAAAGCTTAATTAAGCCAATCTCTATAAATTATTTAGATCTTTGAGAATTAGAATGGATTTACTTTGAGTAATGTTAGCTGGATCCATTATTTGGATCCAAGAAATGTGTATGATTGGGAAAAGGAAACAAGGATAATAGGGTAGGAGAAGGTACATTCTCAGAATCAAAGAAAATTGAATTATGCTGTGCTATAGATACTTTGTGAAGGTATGACTTTGTAGAAAAGGCTGCCATAAGAGATAACAGCAGTCATGAAAGTGGTCAGGGGAAGGCCTCAGGCAGTGCTTCAACTTCTGGGTCATATATTAAAGACAAAAAGCAGTGATATAAAATTCTGGTTGGAGAAAACTAAGACCCTCATTAATGTCACTTTGTATTATTTTGTTAGAGTAGTGCGGGGGAAGGCTGCATTGAATCAATGAGCAAACTGAATTTCACATTGAGGATTATTTTTTTCTTAACTGTTCCTTTGTATTCAGATCAGGTCTCAGAATAATAATGTAGCATTTGGGGGAAAAGATGCAGCCCAGTAATCCAGCTGCTGAAGCCAAAATGGAGAAGATCTCCACAGCCACCATGTATTTCCCCTTGGTACTCAAATAGGTTGGAACAAATGATATCCAAACACTACAAAAGACCAACATGCTGAAGGTGATAAATTTGGCTTCATTAAAACTATCTGGTAACTTCCTAGCTAGAAAGGCTACTGTGAAACTGACAGAGGTCAAGAGGCCCAGAAAACTAAGAACAATATAAAACATTGTGGTTGAACCTTCATTACATTCTAGGACAATTTCTTCAGCTACAGAGTGCATGTCAGAATCTGGGAATGGGGGAGAAATTGTCAGCCACACTGTGCAAATGGTAAATTGTGTTAAGGAGCAAAATAGGACAATAGAAAAAGCCAGCCTATTCCCCACCCATTTCCTCATTTTGGAACCTGGCCTGGTAGCCATGAAAGCAAGAACAACAATGATTGTTTTCCCTAATATGCAAGAAAGGGCTACAGAGAATATGATGCCAAATGCAGCTTGTCGCATGAAACATTTTCCTTGGTCAGGTTGCCCAATGAAGAGCAAACTGCACAGGAATGAGAGCAGGAGAACAATGAGAAGAATGTAGGTGAGGCTCCTGTTGTTGGCTTTGACAATGGGAGTGTCCCATTGTTTAATGAAGATCCCCAGCACCAAAGCTGTGATGAAAGAAAGGAAGAGACTAACACTGGCCAAGGTGATTCCCAGTGGCTCATTGTAAGACAGGAAGGTTGTTGTTTTTAAAATACAAAGATTTTGAGCCTTATTTGGATATTGGTCTTCTGAACATTGAAAGCAGTCAACTGCATCTAGAAAAACAAAGCATCATGGTCAATTTCTATTCAACACTCAGGTAGCAGGACTGAGAGTTAATTATTGGGCTTATTTTTCCCTAATTAAGTAATGCCTATTTCAGTGGGTAAGATGCTGAGCTTGTTGATCAGAAAGCTTGGCAGGTCAGCAGTTTGAATCCCTAGCACTGCATAACAGAGTGAGCTGCCATTACTTGTCCCAGCTTCTGCCAACCTACCAGTTCAAAATCATATAAAAATGCAAGTAGAAAAATAGGGACCACCTTTGGTGGGAAGGTAACAGCCTTCTGTGTCCCTTCGGAATTTAGTCATGCCAGCCATATGACCACAGAGAAGTCTTCGGACTCTTCAGCTTTGAAACATAGATGAGCACCACCCCCTGGAGACCGAAATGACTAGCACATATGTGCGAGGGGAACCTTTACCTTTCATTTATATTTTGTGTGATTCTATAAATATGCAGATTTTCTGATACTTAGATATTGTTTGTGGTATCCCTTTCATTTTTAGTATTTATAAAGCTATTGTCAACCCTGAAACCATTTTGGAGCATCTTCAGAGCTGCCACAGTGAGGCTGGTTGGAGCTGTGGGAATGGGAGGGCGGGTAGAGATAGCTGGGGACTTGTAGCTAAAATAAAATTCTTCCTCCTAGGAATCAAGGATGCTCCCACCAGGTGCTGGGGAGGCATTGACTGAAACCAACTGGAGTTGGGACTGTGACCTGGTTGGACCATGTGATGAACATATGGACTCAGAGAAGTCAGGTTTTCACCAGATGTGCCAATACAACATGCTAATAAATTTGGACTTTGAGAAGCACCTTGACCTCAGAGTTTTGATTGTGTTGGGTTTATTGTTTGGAACCCTGACAGATATTTAATTGGTTCAATCACCACATTAGAAGTCAGTTGTAGAAGGTTTGGAAATAGGCATTTTGAATCACAGTTAAGAAGACTGAATAGTTTTGCACAACACCGCTCTTACCCATCTGGTTTGAAATTTTCCCTTTTGCACATGGAAGGCAATCATAACAGCAAAATGGCTTCCCTTCTATTTTCATCTTCCGAGACCCAGAATAGCAATTGTCATTGCATACAGAAAGAGGTAGAACCTATCAAGAAGTGAAATCAGGATCTATTAAAACTCAAAAGTTTCAGAACATTCTATTTGAATGTCTTTCAGGAGTTGATGGGAAACTAACAAAGTAAGAAGAACAATTTCACCATTCTTTCTGTCATTTGGGACATAAAGAGAAAATTGGCAGAATCCCCATCCATTATCATCCTCATCCTCATCCTAGAAGAACAATTTCACCATTCTTTCTGTCATTTGGGACATAAAGAGAAAATTGGCAGAATCCCCATCCATTATCATCCTCATCCTCATCCTCATCCTCATCCTCCTCCTCCTAATCATCATCATCATCATCATCATCATCATCATCATCATCATCATCATCATCATCGTTGGAAGGGATCTTAAAAGCACAAGATGTAAAAGTACATCTTATGTACTTTTATGGGTAGAGCAATGGTGGGTTTCAAAAAAAAATTGAACATACTCTGTGGGTGTGGCCTCATTTGTGGGAGTGGCTTGCCGGCCATGTGACCTGGTGGGAGTGGCTTGC